GAGACTCCAATTGCCATAGCGTGGATTAGTTTTCCAGAACTTCCTCCAAATTTCTTTGGTGAGGAATGTGTATTTTCATTAGCTCGTGCAGTTGGTAATCCATTACATGTAGACCAAGAAACTCAAAATAGGACTACCTAGTTGTGCTAAGGTAAAGGTGGAAGTGAATTTGCTAGGTAATTTCTCTAAACGTATTAAGATTGTTGAAGAAGTTGATGAATCTGGGCCAGAAGAGTTTAAATGGATTAGGATTAAGTATGATTATATGCCTAAATATTGCAAGCCTTGCAAGAAACAAGGGCATAGTGAGGCAGAATGCTGGGTAATTCATCCTCAATTACACAAGAGATTTGATGAAGATGTGGAGGATCATGGAGAGGAGAAGACAGTTGTAGTGAGCACTGAAGCAATTGGCACAGCTGCAAATTCAATAAAGGTTCTGCCAGGTGGAAAAGTGGTTGGTAAGCCTGCTACTAATCATGCCATGCAGGAATGGATACAAGCAAGGAAGAACAAATACCAACAGGATAATCGGGGTCATATTATTGATAACAAACAAGGTAAGGAAGCTGAAGGGTAAAGGGAAGGCCAAACTTGAGGAAGTAGCAACCAAGAACAAGTTTAATGCACTAGAGGTTGAGGAAGTTCATCAACCTACTCTACAAATTACTGAAGGCAAAGGTGAGGATCATAGCAATGGTGGGGAAAAGCAATCAAAGAAGGGCTATGAGAAGGAAAAAGAAGGTAATACCGGAGTGACAAGCCCTAATCCTAAGGCTTCTGGGTTAGGGTTGGGAAGGATGATAATACTAAACCAGCGGGAGAAGGTAATCAACAAGAACTTAAGCATGTAAAGAAGGAGGCAGTTGAGAAAGTGTTGGAAGAGCAGCCTAATGGGAACTTAGCTAAGGCTAATCCTATTGTTCCTAGTGATCAAAGTTCTGATGAAAAGGCTAATAAGGAATCCATAATCGACTGGGTTCATAGAAGGTTTGGAACTAGCAAAGAGGAGCTAAGGCAACTCAATGTGACTACAAACCAATCATGTCAAGATATTCCGTCTCAAACATTTGCAAATTCTGGGCAGCTTGAGAACCTTGATGAGATAAACTCAACAAAGGTTGTAGGGAGTGATGCAATTGAGGTGGAGGATGATCAACTAGGCATGACAAAGACAACAGGAGATAAAGTGAGGGACAACAGCCCACCTGGCGATAGGCTGGTGACGCCAGGCCTAAAGTCAGGCTCCCCGGGCGTTAGGCTGGCGACGCCAGGCCTAAAGCCAGGTACCCCAGGCATTAGGCTGGCGACGCCAGGCCTGCCAGGTACCCCAGGTGTTAGGCTGGCCACGCCAGGCATGGCGCCAGGGTCACCTGATGAAGCAACGATAGTTAACCCTATCCCTAGTGCAACTAGCAAGATTTTGGCATATGTAGATGTTGTTCCGGTGTATGCATTGGAGAACAAACTTGATGATAATGTGAAGGTTAGGGATGATACAGTAGGGTAAGAGAATAGCAATGAAAAGAATGATGAGCAGGCAATTGTTCTAAGAGCATCTGGGGAAATAGAGGAAGTGCCTATGGAATATGTCACTGATAAAATTATGCAGCTGCATCTTAATGTTCCACTGAAGACTCCACTACAACATTTACATGATTTAGTTACACACAATGTGGCACCAATTGATGAAGACTTAATGAGATAAAATCCTATGGAGGATGAGGGAGATGATGAATCAACAGTAGAAAACTTCAAACAGGTGGCTAGGAATGGGGATCTATCACCTACAGCTAGTGCTAAAAGAGGTAAGAAAACAAAGAAGAATCAGAATTAAGGGTCACAACAACCTTCAAGAATTATGCCAGGAGGGCAGGTTCTCTATCTAAATGATGATCAAAACATTAATATAGAACATAAAGTTTGTGAATACACAGCAGGCCTTTCCTAGGGTGATCAACATGAATAGGGAGCATAACTTTAGGGTAGTTGCATTGATGGAGCCATTTCAAAAGAAGAGACTCATTGATAGATATTGAAGAAGGTTGATTATGGAGATGGCTTATGCAAATATTAATGGGAAAATTTGGTTGTTCTTTGATGCAGTGGTGGAATGGGAATTAGTGGAGGATACCGAGCAACAGGCGACAATGAGAGTGCTTCACCATCACCTGGGACAACACATGATGATAACATTTGTTTATGCAAAATGTTCAGCAATGGAGAGGTTGGAATTGTGGGATCACTTGTATTACTTAGCAAGTGATATGAAATTGTCATGGTTGGTAGGAGGGGATTTCAATGTGATATTACATGAAGATGAGAAAATAGGAGGACTACCAGTACACCCGCCTGAATATGAGGATTTTGCATTTTGTGTAAACTCTTGTGGTTTGTTTGAGCCCAAGATACAAAGGAAGTCCATTTACATGGTGGAATGGGAGATCCAATGTTGCGTGTATATTCAAAAGATTGGATAGGATCTTTGTGAATTTTCCATTTCAGAACATGTTGCCAACTATTGAAGTTGAACATCTAAGCAGAACTGGATCAGATCATGCACCATTATTAATGACATGTGGGGAGCAGACCACCAATTTTGTCAAGCCTTTCAGGTTCTTGAACTTTTGGACTAATCATGCTACATTTATGGATGTGGTGAGGCAGAATTGGGAAGCTGATTTCATAGGGGATCCTTTTTTTATGTTCAAGCAGTAGCTCAAGAGGGTGAAGGCAACACTGTCAAAATGGAGTAGGGAAACATTTGGTGATATCTTCAAGCAGTTGGCTATTTTGGAAGACATTGTTAGGGTGAAAGAGATGTTGTTTGAAGAAGAGCCTACAATTGACAACAGGATTGTGCTTCAAAAGGCTCAATCTGAATTGAAGAAATACTTGAGTATTAAGGAGAAGTATTGGAAGCAAAAAGCTGGGATGACTTGGTTTGCTGAAGGAGATAAGAATACAAGTTTCTTTCACAGTCATGTCAATGGCAAAAGAAAGAAATTGCAACTGAAGAGGATCAAAAGTGGAAGTGGGGTATGGATTGAAGACCAGGAGCAATTGGCTAGAGCTGCAGTGGACTTCTATCAAAAATAATTCACAAATGAAGGTGATACATCTGACTTTTCCTTGCTCAATAATGTACCATCGATGGTCACTATGGAACAGAATTTGGAACTTAGCAGATTGCCAACAATTGAAGAGGTAAGGACAGCAGTTTTTGAGCTTAGTAGGGAGAGTGCTAGTGGTCCAAATGGATTCACTGGCTTGTTTTATCAAACATGCTAGGATGTTATTGGTGCTGATATACACAACATGGTGCTATACTTCTATGGAGGAGCTGCACTGCCTAAATCCATCACTCACACCAACCTAGTGTTTCTGCCTAAGAAACCTAGAGTTGAGACCTTCTCTTACTTAAGACCTATTAGCTTGAGCAACTTCATTAACAAGGTCTTGTCTAGGGTGTTACATGATAGATTGGAAAAAAATTTGCCTTCTCTAATATCCCCTAATCAATCCGGATTTGTGAAGGTAGGAGTATATTTGAGAACATCTTATTGACTCAAGAAATTGTCACTGACATAAGGTTAAGGGGAAAGCTAGCTAATGTGGTGATCAAGCTTGATATGGCTAAGGCCTATGATAGGGTCTTACGGAAGTACTTATTGCATGTACTAAGGAAGATGGGATTATCTGAGCACTTCATCAACATGGTGTGGAACTTGGTGTAAAATAACTGGTACTCAGTATTGGTGAATGGGCAGTCCTCGGGGTTCTTTAAGTCTACAAGGGGTGTCAATCAAGGGGATCCTCTATCACCAGTATTGTTCATTCTGTCAGCTGAGGTACTATCCAGGTCTTTGAATAAGTTATTTGAAGACAGGTCATTTGTGGGATTTGGAATGCCTAAGTGGTCGGATCCTTTGAACCATTTGGCATATGCTGATGATACTATAATCTTTGTTTCTGCTCATCCTCCATCTTTGAGCAAGATTATGGCAGTGTTGGGGAACTATGAGAAGATATCAGGCTAGATGATCAGCAAAGACAAGAGTTCATACTACATATATTCAAAGGTTCCTAATGGATTATGTCAGGCGGATGGAGCTATTACAGGATTTGCAAGAGGTAAATTTCCCTTCACATATCTAGGGTGTCCTATTTTCTACACGATAAGGAGGAAGGAATATTAAGAGGATCTTATCAAGAAAGTAAAGTCTAAATTGCATTCATGGAAAGGAAAGCTGTTGTCATTTGGAGGAAAGGCAACACTCATTTCTAGTGTGTTGCAAAGTATGCAAGTCCACATGTTATCAGTCCTGCATCCACCAAAAATTGTCCTGGAGCATCTTCATAAGATTTTTGCTAGGTTCTTTTGGAGCACAAAGGAAGAAGGGAGAAGCAGACATTGGGCCTCAAGGCAAAATCTTTGCCTTCCAAAAGAGGAAGGGGGCCTAGGCTTTAGGTCCTTACATGATGTGTCGAGGGCATTGTTTGCTAAGCTATGGTGGAGGTTTAGGACCACAAAATCTTTATGGTCTAATTTCATGTGGAATAAGTATTGCAAGAAGGTGACACCAACGGTGGTGCAGTCTAGACGAGGATCTCATGTTTGGATACAATTGCTGAATGCTAAGGAAGAAGTAGAACATGAGATCCTACGGGAATTGAAGAGTGGAACAACTAATATTTGGCATGAAAATTGGACTGGATTGGGTTCACTTTATCACGTATTACCTGAAGACTTTCCAATCAATGAAGATCTTCAGGATTTGGCAGAATTACGGCAAGGTGAAACATGGGATGATCACCTGCTAGATCAAATCTTCAATGAGGGAATTGCAGAACTTATAAGGCTAAATGTGCATTATGAAGGCAGAGAGGGATACTAGGATAGGCCATACTGGATGCCAACTCCTTCAGGCAAGTTCAGTGTTAGCAGTGCTTGGCAAATATTAAGGCATAGGGCTGATCCTAGTTAGGAATTCAAGTTAATGTGGATTAAAGGTTTACCATTCAAGATATCCTTCTTGTTGTGGAGATTATGGAGGTGGAAAATAGCCAGTGATGACATGTGGAGGAGGCAAGGGAAAATGGTGATGTCTAGGTGTTGGTGTTGTCAGCAAGAGGAATCTATTGAGCATATATTTGTCACAAGTCCTACTGCCTCTAAATTATGGAACTTGTTCATGGGGGCTGCTGGAATTACTGTGCCATTGATTCAATTGAAGCAGGTTATAAGGCATTGGTGGTATGCTCAATGTTGTCCAAAGTTAAAGCCATTGTTTCAAGCAGTACCAGCTATCATCACTTAGGAACTTTGGAAGAGAGGAAATGCATGTAAACATGGGGGTTCGGTGTCCACAAATAGGGTGATTCACGAGATCAATAGGACATTGCATCAACTGGCAAGGGTGAGGTATGCTTGGATGCCTAATATTCCATTGTTATGGCCATACATAATTCAATATTTTGAAGGACATAAACCTAGATTGATCACTACAAGAGTAACATGGCAGCTTCCTTTTCATGGTTTGTACAAATGCAATACGGATGGAGCGTCAAAAGGAAATCCTGGTCCTAGCTCATTAGGCTTTTGTGTTAGGAATGATAAAGGTGATGTGGTGTCTGCAAGGGCAGTAGACCTGGGGGTGACAACTAATGTGGTGGCAGAAGCTAAGGCTATTCTTCAAGGATTGGAATACCGCGTGGAGCATGATCTTCACCCTCTCATATTGGAGACTGACTCATTAGTGATAAAGAAAGTGATAGAAGGGGAATGGGATCCTACTTGGGTAATTGCAAATGATGTGAAGAAAATTATAGAGATGAAGAATTCAATGTGATCAGTCAACATGTGTTCAGAGAAGGCAACTCAGTGGCGGATATTATAGCTAACATTGTGTTTTCTTTTGCAGGTACATCTGAGTTTCACTCATTTTCTGAACTGCCTAGTGCAGGGAAGAGGTTGATTAATTTAGACAAGTCTCAAACTCCTAACCTTAGGGTTAGAATAGCAAAGAAAAGAGCCCTAGACTGATGGCTTCACACGATTGGAATCTGCACATACCTACGTGTTTCTTTTATGTCTCATTCTGTATGCTATTAAGGTACTTTCCAGTGGTATTAGCATGGTCACATGCTCATTATGGGGGTGCTTTGATAGTGTACAAGACCAATGTGATAAGCAGGTATTGGATGGTGCAATTTATTCTACTTCTGATATGTTCAAATATTAAGGTAAAGGTTGAATCTATTTTGTGGAATTTCTGGAGATTGTTGAATCATTTCTCAGTGGTATTAGCATGTCTTCATGCTCAATCTGAGGATGGCTTAGCAATGTTTAGAATGATTTCTACATTAAAGGTTCGGGAAGAGAAGGATCTGAGCTTACAAGATCATAAAATCACCCAGCTCCACAGGCTTGGCGGCGCCAGGCTAAAGCCTGATGGTACCCTGGTGTTACCCTGGCGTCGCCAGCTTAAAGCCAGCCCTGGCCTGGCTTTTGCCTTGCAAAGCCAGCCTAAAGCCAGCCCCAGCCTGGCCTTTGCCTTGCAAAGCCTGCTTAAAGCCAGCCCCAGCCTGGCTTTCGCCTTTCAAAGCCTTCCTAAAGCCAGCACCAGCCTGGCTTTTGCCTTGCAAAGCCTGCTTAAAGCCAGCCCCAGTCTAGCATTTGCCTTGCAAAGCCTACCTAAAGCCAGCACCAGCCTGGCTTTTGCCTTGCAAAGCCTGTTTAAAGCCAGCCCAAGCCTAGCTTTGGCCTTGCAAAGCCTGCCTAAAACCAACTTCAAGAAAGGTGTATCCAGGCTCTTTTACATGATAATATTGATTTATACTCGCATAGAGTTAGTACACTGCCTATGGAGATCATATTGTAGCAACTCTAATGATTGGAAGACTATGCTGGCTTCAATTCTGTGGTGGAGATGTTTGGAATTCATTTTAGCCTATGGACTGAATACCCTGGCGCCTGGTGAGAGCTTGATAGGTGTTGCTTGGTATTTGCCACTTGCAATTTGATTCACATACACAGAATGGAGAAGGAAGCATTCAGCAGACAATGTTGTAATAACTAGTTCATTAGACTTTAGCTTTTCTATCTTTTCAGTAGCTAGTAGCTTCATGCAACTTCTATTTTGGTTTGGACATCTTGTAAGCTTTGGACCCATTTTGGGATTTTATTTATATATTAGCCACTGGGCAGCCTGCCTAGTGGTGTATTTGCTATAAAAAAATAACAAGTGCGGAAAGAAAAATATAAGCCCGACATCGGGGTGTCACACGTTACCAGCATCTACTAAGGACTGTCAGAATACAACAAAGACTATTGCAGTCTGGAAAATACTAAAACAGTCTAGGAAGATAAGTGGGAGAAGAGCAAGGCTGTGATCGCCATGCAGCTACCTTGCCGACTCAAGGTATCCCCGATGGATGATGGATCAGCGCTCGCTATCACGATCCGCAACTCCTAGATCTGCACACAAGGTGCAGGGAGTAATGTGAGTACGCCAACTCAGTAAGTAATAAAAGTAAATAACGACTGAGCAATAAGTAAACACATAAATCCATTTCATAGCACCACAGTAAGTATAGTATGTTTCCAAAATAGTATTGAAATCAAATAATCTCGTTAAAATCCAATTTCTGTAAAAATCCTTTGAAAAATGTCTTTCTAACAGTTTCAACGGAGATTCAATGAGGTTTGGAGTAAGAATGATAAAATAAAATTCATAATAGCCCCTCGGGCAAGACATATATCATAAACCACCCCTCGGGCATAATATCAATCAGAACCAGCCCCTCGGGCAACCTCACAATTACTTGTAATCAGCCCCTCGGGCACAACATAAATCAAGAACAGCCCCTCGAGCAACAGCATATCACTCACTCTGGGTACCCGCGCTCACTGGGGGTGTACAGACTCTGGAGACGCTCCTACAGCCCAAGCGCTATCACAAGCCATCTCGTGGCATAATAAATCAGGACCTCGGCCTCTCATATATTACAAAACAGTACAACATGCTGCGGCGCGCAGCCCGATCCCATGATATCCTCACAACACAGGCCCTCGGCCTTACTCAGTCAGAAACTTCTCAAGCCACTCGGGCTAACAGTAAAACAGGGTGCTCAGCCAAAAATATCATTTTATATATCAAAACGGAATAAATAAGACTGAGTTATGAAATCAGTAAACTATAGCATGACTGAATACATATATTAAATCAAAACAGTGAGGAATAGTAGTAAAAAGCCCCTAAGAGTCCAAACAGCTTGGCACGAGGCCCAAATATTGCATTCATCCCAAAACATAGTAATACTTCCTAACATACAATAGTATCAAGTAGTTTTTAATCAAATATGCAACTTAGTAGTTGCTACGGGACGGACCGAGTCACAATCCCCAATGGTGCACGCCCTCACACTCGTCATCTAGCGTGCGCGTCACCTCAAAGTAGTGAAGCGATGTAAATTTTGGGGTTTCATACCCTCAGGACAATATTTACAATCATTACTTACCTCAAATCGGACAAAACACTAATCCGCGATGCCCTTGCCTCTCGGCTCGGCCTCAAATCGTCCCAAATCTATTCAAAATCAGTATCACATCATTAATACACACTAAAGGAACAAAGCCCATGCAAAAATTATCAAATTAAATAAAAAATCTCGAAATTGGCCAAACCCGACCCCCGGGCCAACGCCTCGGAATTCAACAAAAAATCACAAAACCAGAATCCTTATCCTCTAACGAGTCCATACACACCAAATTTACCAAAATCTAACTTCGTTTGACTGCTCAATCGCCCAATTTTAACTCTCTAAGTTCCAAGCCCTAATTCCCCAATTTTCACCCTTAAATCCCACAAATTTCATGCTTAATCAACTGAAAATCACCATAGAATCGAGTTTTAGGTTCAAAAAAACATTACCTTACCGTGTTTCCCCTTGAATCCCTCTTCAAAATCCCTCAAAAGCTTCAATCCTGACTTCAAAAATGGTGGAAATGGGCAAAATTTCGCGAAGAGGGTCAATTTATACTTTCTACCCCAAGGATTCTGCACCTGCGGACAATTCCTCGCACCTGCGGACTCGCACCTGCGGTCCCAGGTGCGCACCTGCGAAAAGTCACTTAAACTCCAGCTTCCGCACCTGTGCCACATGCCTCGCATCTGCGTGCTCGCAGGTGCGGTCAGATCCTTCACTCCTGCGACCTAAGCCGCATCTGCGATCTCCGTATCGCTTCTGCGGCCTCGCACCTACGGTCCCCAATCCGCAGGTGCAGAAATGACAGAAGCAGCAAAAAAATCAGCAGCAACAACTCAAAGCTAAACTTTTCGTCAACCACCCAAATACATCCCGAGGCCCTCGGGGCCTCAACCGAACATGCCAATAAGTCAAATATCACCATTCAAACCTATTCCAACCTTTGGAACACTCAAAACGACATCAAAACACTAAATCACCCTCAGATTCAAGCCTAAGGATTTCCAAACTTCCGAATTCCGCAAACGATGCCAAAACCTATCAAACCTCATCCGAATGACCTGAAATTTTGCACACACGTCACAAATGACACAACGGACCTACTCCAATTTCCGGAATTCCATTCTGACCCCGATATTAAGATTTCCACTGCCAACCGAAAAACATCAAATTTTCAATTTCGCCAATTCAAGCCTAAATCTACTACGGACCTCCAAATTACCGAACACGCTCCTAAGTCCAAAATCACCTAACGAAGCTATCCGAACCATCAGAATTCACATCCGAGATCTTCTACACATAAGTCAACATCCGGTTGACTTTTCCAAATTAAGCTTCTAAATAAGAGACTAAGTGTCTCATTCCACTCCAAGAACCCTCCGAACATAGAACAACCAACACGATATGATGAAATATAGCTGAACAACACATAAAGAAGCAGACATGGGGAAAGCGAGGTTGTAACTCATGAAACGACCGGCCGGGTCGTTACAAAAGGTATGAGTTTTTATATTAATCCTTTGAAATAAGCTTTGGAGCTGACAAACTCAAATTACTCGATTTCAAACGTATACAACCTTATGTTTTGGGTCAGTGTTTGCTTGAAAAAACCAATTATGAATAAAACTTTGATAATACAATTGTTAGAATATCAGATAAAATAGTAAATTTAATGAAGCTACGAGTATTTTATGGTCCATATATATTTTTAAAAAAATCAGCCTGTCAATCTTAGGTGGCATTTATGGAGGAGAATTTGTTCTTGTTTTTTTCCCATGTATTTGCGAAATATAAAACAGAAACATCCCTTTTATAAGTTTAAAGTTATTGTCCCTTTTTTGTCCATTTCAATTTATTGCAATCTCACGATATAATTATTTATTAAAACTCACGTTGACCCTCTTCACAATTTGATATCTAGGTGTAGGTACTGTCGTTATCTTACATCTAAGGAATTGAATGAATCTACAATTACAGTAGCTAATCTGGTTTAGAATGTTGTCGTCCTATCAATTGAAAAATATCGTTGTTGGACTGCAATTTATTCAAGTTATTTATAAGAGAAAATGGCATTGTATAGTCGCTCTCAAAATAAGAGCCGAAATATATATATATATATATATATATATATATATATATATATATATATATATATATATATATATATATAGTCGCGGGGTTTAAGTGATCTTTGCGCATTTTGTTAAAGCTTAAATACATAGCAAGGTTGTACCATTCAGAAAAACAACCCGCTAAGCAATTATCAAATTAATTAAGAGGAATTTTCAGAAATGACTATTGTTTAGTGGCTATTAACTTCCTATAACCACCATATACATAATTACTTTCTGTAGCTACCTTTCAGTTGTTATGGTAATGTATTCGATGTATTCAAGCTAATGTATTCATGAATACAGTAGCAAAAAACGGCTAAAAAATAGGGCATTCCAGCTGTCAGCCGCTGTATTCATATCATGTATTCATGAAT